GCACTAAGATTTGAACAGGAAATTCATGCATATGGCACTAAAGAATGGGAATTAAGGGTGACCACACCACATTTTCCACCATTTTGCCTGCTTGTGAATTGAAATCCGGGAAGCAAATTCATGCCCACATCAAGAAAGGGAGTTCTGCTTCTGCTATCCCAGTTTGGAATGCTCTGATTCACGTGTATCCTCAACGTGGTTGCATTACAACTGCATATTCTATATTTTGTCAAATGGATAATAAAGATTTAGTCTCTTGGAACACAATGATTGGAGGATTCGGGAAACATGGACTTGGCAAAGAAGCAGGAGATGAGAAATTTCGGGGTTCGCCCCAATTCCTTCACATTCACATATGTGCTAACAACATGTAGTCATTCAGGTCTCATAGAAGAGGGTCTGGAAATTTATAACAATATGACAGAGATTTTTTAACTCAACCTTGGAATGGAACAATATGCTAGTCTTATTGATTTACTAGCGCGTGCGGGTCGGGTAGAGGATGCTGTTGAGTTCATTATGAGAAGAAAAATGCCTGTTATGGCTGATAAGCATATTTGGGGTTGTGTGCTTGCTGCCTCTCTATCGTATCAGAAAGTAAGTGTTACGATTTTAACTTCGGAGCATTTAGTCAAGTTGGAGCCAATGCTAGACACTATGTCACTCTATCCAGTATGTATTCTAAAGTAGGAAGAGTTGATGCATTTAGTCAAGTTGGAGCCTGAAAATGCTGGACACTATGTCACTCCATTTCCGACGACTCCCAACCCAAGCCCAACATACTGGTAGACTTCCCTCATCATGGCAAACCTAACCATTGTCTCCAAACATCTACTAAACTACCCAATCAACAATTGCAGCCACCATTTTCGCACGCAGTCGACGCACAGATTTCAGAAGCACATTCCGGCGATGGTAGTCATTACCATGATCGCGGACCAACCCATTCAGTCCCCTCTCATCATGGCAAAGCTATTCCACCCATGGGTCTTTCATAATTTGGTACGAATCATGCAATCCACCTGTACAGTGGTGTGTGACGTTCGGATCATGGGTCTTTAAAATTTTGATTTTAACATCCACCAAACGGCTTGGAATATGAAGGAAATGGATGGTAGAGGAGGTGGTTGATGATGGTGCTGTAGAGGGGTGGGGCTTGGCGTAGAACGGTGGTGCAAATGTGGGGTTTAGCTAGGTGGTGGCGGAGGAGTTGTCCCATGGCTTGGAGCTTGGAGGTGGGTTTTAAATGATTTTTGAAGTTGAGGTCTTCCAACTTTTAAGTGACAGTGTGGTGCTTTAGGTTTCAATTAAAACATAANATTTTGAAGTTGAGGTCCTCCATCTTTTAAGTGTCGGTGTTTTGGTGCTTTAGGTTTCAATTAAAACATAAAAATCATAAAACTATCTTTAGTGACCATTTCTAAAACCTAGTGAAAGTTGAGTGACCGTTTCTGAAAGTTTGAAACTTCAGTGACCGTTTTGTAATTTTCATGTAGCTTCAGTGACCATTTGTGAAATTAACCCGTTTTAGATCTATTATTTGGCCAAAGTCCAATGAAATTCTGCCACTTGACATTATGTAAATCTGTCTGGCATTTTCCTTGGTACATGTAGCATCTCGCAACCTTGTCCAAAAACTCAATAGAAAGCAATACAAGCAAAAAGCAGGTTTGATACGTTTCTTCCTTCAATTAAAAGAATTCTTTGTAGTCTAGGAAATCAAAGAGCACGTCACGTGAACTTTTTTTTGTTTTTGGTACCCTATAATTACTCGAAAATTTTAATCCCTTTTTGCACGTCAATTTGTCTTTCAAGAAGCACAATATGATAAGCACTCTATTATGGAATTTAATATCAACATGAAGCGTGGAGAAGTGCAATGTTATTGCTTCTGCATTTAACATAATCACTACCGGAGAAAATAAATGATTGAAGTTATTGCTTCAATCCCCAATGCTAAATTACCTTTTATTAGAATATATATGATAATTACACGAATGAAGAACGTGGTGTTACAGTAAAGATCTTTGAAATGGAAATATGTCGCGCACAAACTCAAAAGAACGATGCAAAATCGGAACATGAAACTTTTCAAAACACCCA